CCCCCCCCCCCCCCCCCCGTGCTAGTGAAGGAGCATCTATCACAACCAGTCACAGCACATGAAGGCGAAAAGACAAAGCATAGAGAGAGGACTAGATTGCAAGGTGTTAAGTGCCTCATTCCTAGCATCTCACTACTGAGGTGAGGAAATAGGTGCCATCTTACAGGCAAAACCTGCTACAGGCCTGAATAATTTTACAAATTATTTCCCCCGAGGCTGGGAATAGCCATAATTCCTCTCTTCATTTACCAAAGCAACTCTTGCACTATTGAAACTGCTGAGTCGCGTGTACTAAACAAATTCTAAACATTTATCTTCTTCTAGTACCTTAGTCTGCTCCAATTCTTTGTTTTTGGCTTGAATGATTGCTTCAAAGTCCTTCTTGCTGCGATTTAGTTCTTCCATTAGAGCACGATGCTGCAAGAAACATGACAGACAGGTACTCAAGATGAGCTATACTACATCCTTCCTTTCAGTTACACACAGGCCTGCTTCTTCCCCGTCAGGGGCTTCACTTCAAGAGATTGATGCACTGGCAGTTTCAAAATAATGCTATCCCCTTACCCACAGCTTTTTTTTCATGGAAGGGGGCAGATAAGTAGGGAGGCCACCAAATCCATTAATCCTTCTGGAACTAACTTAACCTCCATGGCCATCCAAATCAACTCAAGAACACTGCCTTCCAGAGTCTGATTCCTTAGGTTTGGCATAGGGTCCAGGAATGTGCATTTTTAAAAGTCACCCAAGTGACTCTGGGAACCAATGTTCAAGAACTAGTAACTTCAAGTTCAAGGATACTCAGTACTGGGAGCATTTTTTAAGAGATGATTGGGGAGGGAGGGGGTTCAGGAAAACTAGACAATCATTTTCATTAAAATACAAGTCACGGGACTTCTGGAAGATGGCGGCAGAGTAAAGACGCTGAGATCACCGTGTCCAAGCCTACATAGGAACTGAGGACTGAAAACAGACTATAGACTCACTTACTACAAGTTTTAACTCAAACGAAAACACCCTGGACTCACTAGAAGGTAGATAACTGCGAGGGAATCGGCGATTGGGGAGCTCCCAGAAGGGA